TATGACGCTGGTCGCTGGGCGTCGCTCAGAGGTCGACGTCGCTGTTGTCGCTGTCAATGTCGATGTCGATGTCGCCACCATCGTCGTCGCTGCCATTTTGGCTCAAGACGGCACCCAGGGATTTCTCGATTCCTTACGCCCTGGTCAGGCTGCCCGCCTGGCTCGAGGCTTGTCTTCTTGAACGGCTACAGCGCACAATTCGCTTGCAAGAGCCTAACATCTACTTTTCCTGATGGAGCGCGAATCCGTCAACTGGCTCGCGATGGCGGTCCGTGGTTTGCAGAAGGAGGTCCGACGGCTGAGCGAGCGACTCGACCCCACGGAGCCATCGCCCAAGACTTGTATTTCTATTGATGCGTGTCTGAGAAGGTCTCTGGAGGCATGGGTTCCCGATGTCAATGCTCAGGCGTTTGTCCCCGCGCAAATGGGCGCGCGTGCTGATCGGGACGAGGCCATAACGGGGGCCCTTCTTTTTCATCTCTGCAGTGGACGGGCGGATGGCGAGGCCGCTGGTCATCGTGAGTTCGGGGTGAAGACACATGTCCAACGGACGGCCATGGAAAACGCCCTCGCCGCGGGACGAGCTCACGCAGATGGACCTGCTGAACCAGGTCGCCCCGATGCACCTGCTGATCGTGAGCCTCCGGATGGTCGTGAGACTCCAGAAGGATCCCCTGGCGGGCCCCTTGATGATCGTGAGCTTCCAGAAGGGGTCCCTGGCGGGCTTCCTGATGGTCGTGAGCTTCCAGATGATCGTGAGCTCCCAGCTGGCTGTGAGCCTCCAGAAGGGCTCCTTGGTGGGCTTCCTGATGGTCGTGAGCTCCCAGAAGGGTCTCCTGGCGGGCCCCTTGATGGTCGTGAGCTTCCAGAAGGGCTCCCTGGCGGGCTCCCTGGTGGTCGTGAGCTTCCAGATGATCGTGAGCTTCCAGATGGTTGTGAGCTTCCAGAAGGGCTCCCTGGCGGGCTTCCTGATGGTCGTGCGCTCCCTGATGATCGTGAGCTTCCAGATGGTCGGAGGGTGTCCTGGCGGGCTTCCAGATGGTCGTGAGCTTCCAGAAGGGGTCCCTGGCGGGCGTCCTGATGGTCGTGAGCTTCCAGATGATCGTGAGCTCCCAGATGGTCGCGAGGGCCCACGGCGTCATCGGCCGGAGTGGGAGGATATCACGCAGATGTTCTATGCCCGCAACTGGGGGGCCGTGGCCGAGGCTATCTCGAGCTACCCCGAGCTGGAGCCTAGGGTGCGCCCACTCATGCAACTCTGTGTCGACCAGGCGAACAACGCGCTGCAGGAGGCGCAGGGGAACTGCGACACCCTGCGGGCCGAGTTTCTGGAGGCCCAGGACCAGTGTCGGCGCGCCAAGAGGCTCGCGCAGGTCTCATCTATCGAGCACGAACAGCAGATCTTCAGGAGTCGGGTGCACAAAATGTATCAGGAGGCGCACATGGTCCTGGAGCAGTCAATGGAGGCTGTGCGAGGAACCTAGAGGCTGATAGACACCATCCTAGCTGGCGATGTGCAAGGCGCCAGGACTCTCTCGGCGTCGGGAAGGTAGCTCTGCCCTTGTATTCATTTGAATTCACCGTCTTCATTTCTTCCTTAACGCTTTCTGTCTTGTGCGTGGGCTATGTCCCTCACTTGCCGCCTCCATTGGGGGCCTGGCGCCGCTGGAGGATCACCCGAGCCAGGACTTGCATGCAGTTGCACGTTTTCTCTGCACTCGTCGCTCTCTTTCTCCACACGCCTCATGTTGTATGCTCTGTCTTTCTAAGTGTGCTTTGCTTTTCCCTGTGTGAGATAACCCAGACTGCCCTTCGCTGGCAGGTCAGCTTTGCAGCGTCGGGGCCAGGAGCCGCCTTTGCATGACGCTTACGAAACGAAACGAAACGAAACGTCGTCGCTGCCGCCGTCGCCGTTGCCGCCATGGTCGCCGTAGGGCGCCGAGGCCGTCGCCGCCACCATCGCCGGGGGTCGCCTCCGCTCCCTAGGGGACCGAGGAGGAGGGGGAGGTTTTTCGGCATTTCCAGAAATCCCCAAAGTTCTTCGACGTTCCTTGGAGGCCTCTCCCCTCCACCTCCTCATCATCCGTTGCCTCCCTATCCTCAGCAAGAGGGGCGGGTGGAGGAGGAGGGGAGCATGAGGTGGGCATGGTGGGCGGGTGCTGGCCTCCTCGACACCCTCCCGGTGGGCCGCAGGCGTCGCGGCAGTGGACGCCACACGCGTGTCCTACAGTGAGCGCAGCAGCAGCAGCAGCAGCAGGGAGGGAGGGTCGGGGGGGATAGTTGCGCTTGCAGGTGCCAGCCCCTGGCTACCTGGCCAGGTCACACGGCGGGTTCGGGCAAGCGCTTGAGCTCCGGACTTCACGCAGCCTCCCCCGCCCCGCGCATCCCTGCGACGACGCCCAGCCTCCGGCAGGGGCAGCGGGCGCGGGGCTACCGCCGACGCCACGCGCTGCCCCGCGGCGGCTCCAGGGGCGAGGCGCCCAGAGAAGCTCTGCCGAGCCGCAGCCGGCGCCGCTGGCCGCGAGCTCCCCGCCCGCGCCGCGGCGCCGGTGGCCCCCCGGTCGCCCCACGCCCGCGCCGCGGCGCTTCCGAGGCGTGTCGAGCCGATGTGTCCGAGACCTGGACCGGCTGCCCTCCAGAGCTCAGGAGCAGGGGCTGGCACTCTACGGGGCAGGGGCCAGCCCCTCGCCCACCGGGCGAGCGCCCGAGGGGCGGCCCCGCGGGGGGCCCGCGGGAGCGAGCGGGCACATGACCCCGAACAGTGGGGGGGGGGGGGTCGGGCGGTCATTGTTGTAGACATTCTGTTGGGAGACCAGGAGGCGCTGGCTCGGGCGCGCTCCACGGGGGATGTGAACATGCCGGGCCTTCTTTGTCGGTGCCTTCTGCCACGCAGTGCGTTGGTGCGGGCCCTGTTTGGGGTCGCGTGCGAATCCCCAGGCCAGGCAGCAGAGAGAGGCGGGAGGTGAATGGGACCCTTCCGTCGGGTGAGAGGGGCCCGCGTCGCGACGACTTCGGGGAAGGGCGGCCAGGCATGGGGCAGGGAGGGCCTCGGCCGCCTCTGCCAGGCTTCCCGAGGCCGCTGGAGGCGAGGGCTGAACCCCCTCCTCTTAAGATCGGGGAAACGTAAGGCTCGAGTTCTCCAGAACTCGGGCTTGCCGACGTGTTCTGACGTGCCCGGCGTGGATTTTGACGGTCCAGTTGTCGTGGGATGACTGCAGCGGGAGCTCGGGTCAAATTTCAGATTGGGCCTCGTCATTTCCCTGACGGCCCCGTCAGGCCAAACCGAGTCCCCCGAACCCGAGTCTTGCGTCTGCCCGACGGAATGCCACGGCGGCCAGCGAGGGGAGTCCTGGGACACTCTTGGCCCGAGGTCGGAGGGACTCAGATGGCAGAGGGGCCACGGGGTCCAGGGAGGAGGAGAGGAAGAGATCCACTGGTTGCCGGACGAGCAAGCCCTCTTGACCAGAGGAAGAGAGGACGGGCAGAGGGGAGAGGTGGCAGGGAGATGGCGCTTCTGGAATCGGGGCTGAAGAGGCCCTAGCCGGGCGCGCACTGGAGCGACTGGACCGCCTCGCGCCAATCTTGGGCGCATCTCGCAGACGACTCCCCCCGCACCCGCACGGCGTGCGGCCGCCCGTGCACGATGCTCTGGAGTTTGTCTTGTGGGTTCCTCGAGCGGATCTGAACGAGCAACGACCTTGATGTTCCGAGGCTTCCCGTGGATAGTCTGGGAAAGCAACACCTTCTACCTGCGCAACGACGGGGGGTGCGGCGCAGTTTGCGAGGGCGCGCTTGGCTTCGCAGTCTTTCATGCCATCGTGGATAGGGGCAGCGACAAGTGCAAGCACTGCACGATTTCGAGAGACGGGGCGCTGTCGCCGAGGCCGAGGCCGAGGCGTTGGCACCTGAGGCGGGCCTGCAGTGGTCACGCTCCGTCGGAAAACAGTCAAATGACAAAGTCGCGGGAAGAGGGCGGAGAAGCAATGGCAGAGGCAGGCGCGGCCGAGGGAGAGGGGGAGAAGAGGGAGGGTGAGGCGAGGAAGAGGGAGAACAGGGGGAGGCGGAAGGGGAGGAGGAGTGAGGGAGGGCTCCTCTCTCTTCTGGCGGGGCAGGGTCGAGGAGGAGCGAGCATCGAGGATTGAGGATAAGGTTTCTGGGCGTTCTGGCTCTTTTCGGCCCGTCCGGAAGTCTCCAGAGGCTTCTGGGTACCCTCAGAGGCGTCCATGGACATCAAGATTCTGCCCGAGGCCCCTTCCACACCTGTTCACCCACCCAATCTAGGAGAGCGACAGGGAGAGGGACAGGGAGGTAAAGGCGGAGACATGAGCGTGAGGGCGAGAGGGGGGTCAGGATGGAGAGGAGGCGAGAGCGGGGGGAGAGGAGGAGAGAGGGCGAAGTGACTAGGGAGCGAGAAGGGCACGGCTTGGATGATGCGTTCGTACTCGTATACTTGCACGGCTTGAAGATCATGATTGGCAGTTGCAGCGGCATGGCGGACTGGAAGAAACACGAGCGGCACTTCACCGACACCGTTTGCGGATGGGATCTGGAATTCTTGCCGCGACAGCCTGGCCGCATCGAGGAGACGACGAAACGGAAGACAGCTTGGGCCAGTGATCCAAAGCGAGCCCGGATTGAGGAGACAGTCCCTCCCGAAGCCAAGCCACCAGTTGTCGAGCGGGAGGCTATTTGTGGAAATTTCGCGGCCACCGTGGATTGCCAGCCGTTGAAAGATGTTGTCTGCGGCCATGTGCGACTCCACACGCCCTATTTGCGGCCAGTACTCACGCGTAGCACGCTGGGCACCTTAAAGGCTGGTTGGTTACTTGCGATGCTCGTGGCTGACCCGGTGAAGCGGGCTCCCAGGGAGTAAGGCAGATTGGCTAATGCTTTTGCGACGAGCGCTCGCGGGGTACGCAGCGGCCTTTTCCACAACACTTGCGAGACGTACGGCGTAACATGTTCTTGCAGTCTGCGGGAGGGTTCCGGGGGAACAAAGCCGCGGCAGCATGGGCCATTCTGGCGAAATCCGGCCATGAAGCGCACAGTCCTGCAGCAAGAGGAGCTCACTTACCCACCACCACATCTTCACTCACAGCCGAAGCCATTCCGTGGGAAGATGGGCTGAGCAAGTTCTGAATCCTGTGTGAGCCAGGCGCTCGGCGCCGAGAGGAAGAAGAGTAAAAGGGGGGAGGGATGGGGAGAGGTGGAAGCCCTGGAAGCCCGCAGGGCCTTCTGACGTCTCCCGAGGCCTCTGGAGGCCTGGGGAGGCCCGAGCATGGCCACCTCAGGATTCCTCCGCCCCTCCTCCTCTCCTCCTTCCACGGTCGGGAACTTGTGGGCAGCATGTCTCGCAGCCGGTTCTGGCTCACCACGCCTCGCCGCCCGCAGGGCACAGCGTGTCGCCAGGGCCGCCGCAGCGACACGCTAAGAAAAAGTTCCAACCGTGTTCCTCCTCCTCCTCCTACTCCTTTTCCTCCTCCTCCTCCTCCTCCTCCTCATCCTCCTCCTCCTCTTCCTCCTCTCCTCCTCCTCCTTCTCATCCCCCTCCTCCTCCTCCTTCTCACCCTCTTGCTCCCGTTCCTCCTCCTCTTCCTCCTCCATCCCTTTTCCTTACGAGTGAATCATTCCTGTCGCATCCCGAGGCGTGTCGGTAGGACGGGCTGGGCGTTTTGCTTGAGACACTCTCACGAGTTCCCAGGACAACGTTTGCACCTGGCGGGTCTTATGCGTTTTCTAAGGAGTTGGGCCTGCGTACTGCTCTGGCGGCTCCTCGCCCGCCGTCGCCGCCCCGTCGCCGCCTCGTCGCCGCCCGTCGTCTGGGCATGTGTGCCAGTTTTGCGGTTACGTGCACGCCGTCGCCGCCTTGTCGCCGCCTCGTCGCTCTCCGTCGTCTGGGCCTGTGTGCCGGTCTGGCGGCGATGCGTCCGCCCTCGCCACCTCGTCGCCGCCCGTCGTGATTTGTCTCGTTTTGCATTGCGTTGCTTCGCATTGCTTCGCATCGCTTTGAACTGTTTTGCATTGCACTACTTTGCACACGATCCACTGCACCAGTTAGATTGCACAACGCTGGCTGCACCGCATCAGCCGCGCACCACATAGATGGCACCACATAGATGGCACTACCTATACTAAACCACATCTATTGCACGACATAGATAGCTAGAAACACACAGCTTGGGGCCCACGCTGGCTAACACTGTGATCCTGAACCTTGGAGTCTGCAACAGCTTCAACGATGGAGGTCGGATCCTGTGCTAAATGTGGCCCTAGCCTTCGCACCGCGCACATTCGTTCAAACTTTGCAGCAGCTTCAAACATGGAGGACGGGTCGTTCTCAAAATCTGGCTCTCGCCTTCGCGCCGCGCACAGGAGGGAAGAGCAAGCAGGGAGGGAGGGAGGGAGCGAGGAAGGGAGAGGAGTTGCTTGGACGTCCACGGCCACAGGCTCCGGTCAAAGATGGCAAAAAGTCGAGCGGTCGTCCGTGACTTGGGCCCATCCTCGGGTGGGAGGCCTTTTTGTTCCGAGCTGCTTGCGGCTCTCGCTGGAGCAAAGAGACGCGAGCGGCGTGCAGGCCTGCACGAGCTTGGTAGGTGAGGAGGCGCAGCGCTGGCAGGTGCACAAGCCAATCGTCACCTCGACCGATCACTGCACAGCGGCGGTCAAGCTCCCCACAGAGCAGCAGGCTGGACACAAAGGCTGCCTGGACACGAAAATTGCCCGAAGATCGTCCAGGTGGAGGCGTCAGCTTAACTAGGCGACGAGCCTTGAAGACATGGTGGGCACTGCCAAAATCGGCCGACACAGACCCAGTCGTGCTGAGGCCCCGCGTTCTTGGGGGCTCGAGGCGTGGCAGGGGTAGGGAAGGAGGAGAAGCAGGAGGACGGGGAGCAGGAAGGGGAGGAAAGGAGAGGACGAAAAGGGAGGAGGGAGGAGGAGGGAAGGGGGAGGCCGACCGACAAGTACCCGACCGAGACGGCAAGCCAGGACCGAAATTGGCGCACTCGCCCTGGATCGCAACGCTGCGCGCACCGTGGAGGGGGGAGGGGGCGCCCTGGGAACCTCGAGAGCTTCGACTCAAGAGACCCCCTCCTCCTCCTCCTCCTCCTCCTCCTCCTCCTCCTCCCTCCTCCTCCTCCTCCTCCCTCCTCCTCCTCCTCCTCCTCCTCCTCCTCCTCCTCCTCCTCCTCCTCCTCCTCCTCCTCCTCCTCCTCCTCCTCCGCCCTCCTCCTCCCTCCTCCTATGGCGAGGCCGCCCAGTCAGGGCCAGGCCGTGGGGCCCGACGCGTGGCCTGCCGAGGCTGCACGCGGAGAGCGCATGCAGCTTCGGAAGCGGAGGCAGGGGAGTGCCGGGCGTGGCGCGGGGGCCTGGGCCCTGCGAGCAAGCCCCACAGGCCGAGGAGACGGACGCGATGGGCACGCCCTCCGTCGACGCCGCCCTGCGGGAAATCGAGGCCGCCCGTCTCATGTCGCTCCTCCTCCTCCTCGTCCTCCTCCTCCT